GCCACTACACTATGGAACACTCATGAGCAGCAGAGTGTGTGTGGCCCTGGCAGCCTTCGTGTGGTTTGCAGGGGCATTCAATGCCTCCCTGCTGACAGGCCTGGTTCTGCGACTGACCTTCTGTGGCCCCAACCTCATTGAGCACTTCTTCTGTGAGATCCCTCCCGTGCTGCTACTATCCTGCAGCCCGACCTTCCTCAATGACATCATGACCATTATTGCAGACATGTTCCTATCAGGCCTGAACTTCCTGCTGACCATGGTGTCCTACGGCTGCATCATCGCCAGCATCCTGCGCATCCGGTCGGCTGAGGGCAAGCGCCGTGCCTTCTCCACCTGCTCCTCCCACCTCATCGTGGTCACCTTGTACTACTCCACCGTGCTCTACACCTACATCCGGCCGGCCCTCGGCTCTGCCGGGCTCCTGGACAAGGCCGTTGCTGTCCTATACACCATCGTGACGCCCACCTTGAATCCTCTCATCTACACCCTGAGAAACAAGGAGTTTAAGGCAGCCCTTAAGAAACTCTTCCCTTGCTCCCCTAAATGAGCATGTTAAGAGGAGGGACTCATCTGACCTTCAGAAGCACTGAGACCTTTCCCTGAGGAGGACCCTCAGGGATGCTGATGCTTTATCTTCAGCAACAGGGTCATGGAGACAATGGGACTCTTGTCTAAGGGGCTCTTGGTCTAAAGAACTGCCCCAGTGTGGCCTGTGTTCAATGCCCGATTTATTAATCATACGAACTTCCTAAAGCTCTACTAAGCCTTTCAGCATTGCCCACACAACTAATAAAGCACACATTTTGTATATTAAATTTTCTCATACATTGAATATTTATTAGGCTCATTTAATCAAATCTCATTGTTGACTAAATAGCAAACAAAATATGTTCGATTCTTTTAATGCCTCAATCCCATTAAATAATAAAACATGTTCAAATAATCACAATAATTATAAAACTTACTATAACATCCCTACTATTTCAAACTTTTATAAAAATCTTGGTGTCATAGGTTTGATTGTTGTTAGTCTTTTTTTCTTGACTCCTTGTTTTATGTTTTTCTATGGTTTCACTTGTTGATCTGACCTGAAAGAAAAAGAAGACAGGTTTAGAATAGAGATGTTGAAGACATATTTTGATTTTTCTTTCCCACAAAATAGACATTAGCTCTTTTCCAAAAAGTCCTGCTTCCTAATAACATATTAGAAGACAAAATTAGGCTGTAGGGTCACCCTGATCTGACTAAGGATGAAGCTGCCCCAGCATATCAGCGACAGAACTGAAAATGGTCTTTCCTTCATGGTGATGAGTTCACTTTAACTTTGACATTAAATGTTAATGTCTTGACATAATTAGGACATACATGTTATTTTAAACATTTTTTCTACAACATTTGTATTTATTTTTCCAAGTTTCTCCTCCAAACGTTATAAGTAGCACTTTCTTATTGTGAAGTTTTGTCAACCTGTAGGATAATCTCCTCCATTTTCAGAAACAGAGCCTGGTGGTGGGGATGTGGCATGACTGAGCACTGCCATTCCAGTGACATACAGGGCAACTGTTTCTTCCTGCTTGAGATCTGGCAGTTTGTGTCCTCAAGGAACTTATCTGCTGTATCCCAAGTTGTTAAATTATCAGCATAAAGTTATTCATAGTGTTCCATCATTCAGTATTTCAGAATCTGGGATGGAGTTACCACTCTTACTCCTGATATTGTTAACATGTGTCTTCTTCTTCTTTTTTTTTTTTTTTTCCTGATCAATCTGGCTAGAGGTTTACCAATTTTATTGATCTTCTCAAAAAACTAGCGTTGGTTTCATTGCTTTTCTCTATTGCTTTGTTTCTTGTTTCTTTGGTTTCCACTGTGATCTTTACTATTACCTTTCTTCTGCTTTTGTTTGAGTTGCCTGGTTTTTCCTAATTTCTTAAAGTAGAAGCTGTGGTCCTTGATTGGATAATTTTTATTTTGTCCTCCAATAAATACTTATAAAATCAACATCTCTCAAGCTTTGATATGTTGTGTTTTCTATTTATTCAGTCAAAAATGATGAACTA